CGGGAACCTGTCTGTATGTGGGATCCGAACCCTCGGCAGGAGCGCCACCGCGCTCCCAAGCATTGCGCCACCGGGCCGGCCCAAAACAGGTTTTTTTTTTTTATAAGGAATTATTTATGTGTTTTAAATATAAGCCAGACTTTGTATATGACTGAAAAGTAAATGTACACATTTATCAATGCTATTAAATTTTCTATTTTCTGTTTTAAATATCTTTCACAAGGACTTTTTTTTCCTTGCACATGACACTATAAATTTGTAGAGATCATCTAGCATCAATTAAAAGGTAATCCCAAGGGCTCCTAGATGTGTAGGGAATTCTATTCCCATCACGTAGAGGTAAAAATTGTAAATATCCTCTTCTGAAAGTAAAAGTTCAAAAAGGATTGTTAAACATAGGAGGAATAACCATTTGTAGAGGAAAGGAACAATTTGGAAGATGTAGTTCAAAGTTATGGTTTAAAATATTGGGGTTAATGAGAGTATGCAGCTGTTGTGATAATGAAGGAATTTTCTTTCATATTTCTTTGTTCAGCATCTTTGAAATAGGAATCATAAAAGCTGCCTTAGTTAGATTTTCTATGTGTCTATTGGCAAAGTAGAGAAGTAGAAATCCTCACAGAAAGCATTATTATTTAACATAGAAAATCATGATTTGTCATTCATTCTGAACTATCTCTGTTGAGTAAATCCATTTTCACCTACTTACACCAGAAACAAAAAGCTGATAACATAGAAAATCATGATTTGTCATTCATTCTGAACTATCTCTGTTGAGTAAATCCATTTTTACCTACTTACACCAGTGAAGAAAACTGATTACATGATCCATACACAAATCTAATGAAATAAGAATGTGCACTTTTTGACAAGCTTATTTATAATACATTCTGATAGAAAATTCCATTTGCCACTCTCTGTAGGAAAAGAAGGCTTTTAAAGGAAACCTTTTATTTCATGACTGTCACCAAAATAACAATTACAAGCAAAAGAGGGATAAAACATTTTTTAAAAGCAGCTTAGAACTTGTTATAGAAGTTCGCAATCCATGTTTGTCCTGTTATTTGATTTGAAAAATTAATCCTGATAATCCTTTTTGAAGTTTACTGTTTCTGGGACATGTTAGACAGAACAAAGACTAACTGATATTCCCAGGAGATTAGTTTACATTGATGCTCTATTCTACCGAGAATGATTCTCCAAAGGCCACTTTTTACTTCTTCCCAGGCTATGGGAATTGTTAATATCTAGAGAATACACTTAAATAAAACCATTGTCTCAACCAGCAGGTTTATGCAACCATCCCGAAATGTTTTAATTATTGTTTACTTTTCCTTTTTAATTAAGAGACCAGAGGTCAAGCAAACCCACCGAGAGCTGATCACAGGCTTTGTAGAAATTTAAAGGAAGCCCTAATGATTAGATTTGCTGTTTTCTCTTTTGTTTTGCAGAACCAGAAGAGTGCATTAATTGCACAGATGAATGCCGAGTGCTTGGTCATTCTGACAGGTGTTGGATGCCACAGTTCCCTGCAGCCAATCAGGCTGAAAATGCAGATTACCGCACAAATCTCTTTGTACCCACAGTTGAAGCTAATGTTGAGACTGAGACTTACGAAACTGTGAATCCCACTGGGAAAAAGACTTTTTGTACATTTGGAAAAGACAAGCGAGAGCACACTATTCTCATTGCCAATGTTAAACCTTATTTAAAAGCCAAACGTGCCCTGAGCCCTCTCCTCCAAGAGGTCCCCTCAGCATCAAGCAGCCCAACTAAGGCATGCATTGAGCCTTGCACCTCAACAAAAGGCTCCCTGGATGGTTGTGAAGCAAAACCAGGATCCCTGGCTGAAGCAAGCGGGCAGTACTTGCCCACCGACAGTCAGTATCTGTCGCCCAGTAAGCAACCGAGAGACCCTCCCTTCATGGCTTCCGATCAGATGGCAAGGGTCTTCGCGGATGTGCATTCCAGAGCCAGCCGGGATTCCAGCGAGATGGGTGCAGTTCTCGAGCAGCTTGACCACCCCAACAGGGAGCTGGGCAGAGAGTCCGTGGATGCTGAGGAAGTTGTGAGAGAAATTGATAAGCTTTTGCAGGACTGCCGTGGAAATGACCCTGTGGCTGTGAGAAAGTAAAAAAAAAAAAAAAAAAAAAAGGCACTGGCATTTTATGTCTCCTCTGTCGATTTAAACATGATCCCTCCTGGTGACAACCCGTTTTACAGGGATGAAGAAAGACCAATGCTGCTTTAAGGCTTTTAGTGAACATCTGAAGTGCCCACAAGTATGTTCTTTTCACTGCTGTTTCTTTTTCAGAGATAACAATGGTTTTGTTTTGACTGAACTTATATTAGGACAGAATTAATGATGCTTAAAGAGAAAATAAAAAGAGAAGAAAAAGGAGAGAAGAAAAAGGAGGAGGATGAGGCAAGTTACCTTTTGACAATCTGTTAGGAAGGTATGCAGCGTGAGGACTGAAGTATTTCTGATCACTCCAAGACTGTCCTCCGTGATTTATGCTGACTCCACTGTTTACCTATAAACCCCATACAAAGCAGGGTCATTATTTGTGATCTGTGGTGGATTTCTAGCAGTCACCACAGGCTTCTACTGAACGTCCCGAAAAGACCTTGCAGTAGTCCAAGCTACACCAAACATTAACACATATTTGTGGTAAACATTTCTGTAAAAAGTTACCTGCCACACATACAAACACAAAGAACATTCCATATCATTAGTCAAAGACAAAAACAAAAAACAAACAAAAAAACTTTGTCATTTGTAAGACACCTCATGTCGTATAAAAGTTAAATGTAAAAAGATATAGTCCATTTTGTCCTGCACACACGTAGCCTAATTCACTTCATTAAAGGAGAAGAAAATTTGAAGATTTAAAATGCCTATTTAAGCATTTTAGTGTCCTACAAAGATATAAATGATGATGAGTCTGTTTTAAATTTGACATAGAAAAGTTGAGAAAAATAGTTACCATTGAGTGGCAATATTCAGAGAAAATTAACATGATTAATATGTTTTATTCGTTTGTGGACACTAAAATAGCTCAGGAAAGTGAAGATGTCTTAGACATACACAAATCACATGACCATTTAAATGTGCAAATGTAAGAAGATTCAATGTGTTTACATCAAATGACATATTTTTATTGATTTATTGCAGATTCAGTGCATATGAGCCAAATTGTTGAGTGTATAAGAGCTATATTGTGTATTTTATTAAATTAATATATAGTTGTGTTGCAAAAATATTTGGGCTTATATTGTAAATGGCAAGTGTTGCCTCGGTAGCTGTCGAACTCTATGAGTTTTGTTTTTTCCTGCTTCCTTTTCCCCATGGAGTGTGGGAAGCAGTGCCTCAGAGCAAAGTCTCTTGTTTAATGTATAGTCTACCAAGTACTACAGTACATAATCTGTTCAAAATGTGTTTGAGTGAGCTGATGGAGCTAACTGAAAGGTCAAAAAATACATCCGTCAGTCATGGTTATGTGCAAGTCCTTGTAGAAGCTTTTATTAAAGTCATGCTAAATCACAAGAATTACATTTGTACCAATACCTGAAACTTCTTTATGTTTTTTTCAAAAACATACAGCTTCTGCCTGTGTAGATATCATACCATTGGTTGGTTCTCAAAAGTATCTTAAGTGGTTCAGATGTGTGTTCCCATTCCACTTCAAAAACAAGAAAAATGCTTTAATGCATGTATGGACCAGCACTGGTAACTTACATTGTGTAGTGTTTTTCAAGAGGTCTGGGTCTTAACAAAATATTTTCTTTTATCTCAGTGCTCCTCTGTCTCTTTTTATTGGCGTCCTTTGAGAACAATACACCTTCTATTCCCTGATTTGGTTGCACCTTTTCTTGTGACATTTAGCGAATTTCAAACTTACTTCCATATGAGACTCAGAAACCTCAAATTTCAGGAATTGGGAAAAATAAAATTAGCACTTGCAGAAGTAGCAGCAGATGGGAAAATGCCTTGATTGACATTTCCCTTCAGCATTTAAAATTTTTTGGCATTTTACAGCTTCATGACAAACAGTTTCGAGCCCATACCTTAGAAAATGTGGTGCTGAGATAAATAAAGGCTGTTTGTGCACTGGAGCAGAAAAATGCATTATTTGCAAACTGGTGGAGTATTCTGTGCCTTCTTTTCTGGCCACCCAGCCAGTGTAGAAACAGCATAAATGTTATAAAATCCTTATATGAAAAATGAAAACAAAAGCAAAAACAAACATTAAATAAATTAAGTTAAATTTTGAACCTCAAAAAATTCTACTGAAAGTATTTCTGTCAAATGCTGTCAAGGTTTTAGACTGTGCCTCGTTTGCAAAACTGCTTTGAGAGGGAAGAGTGGACAACTCCCATCAGCCTTATTCTCTTAAGAACTGTATTTGGTACCTAGTAACAGCCTTTCCAAAGCTCTACTCTTGATTATTATTATTCATAAATGTTTAAATTAGAAAAGAAGGGATCTTGTACATGTTAAACCAAATTGACTCTCTATATTTTGGACAATTTATGTATCTGAAACGTGTTGTCTCTGTTATATGATGTTATTTTTGCCAGGAGACTACAGGTTGGTTTCGCTTGATCACTGAAATTTGATGGAAAACTGATTTCCATTTAGTCTTACCAAGTGTTGCCTCTCTCTGACTAGACAGATAACCACTCAGTAAAATCTAAAGCAGTATGTAAATGAAATCAACAAGGAGAGGAGGATTTATTTTTAAAACATTCTTAACACTAAGTAACCAGTTGTTCAATTTATTATATGTGTCTGAAGACATTAAAACACCGTAAGATTTTGAGAATTGGTTGTGCCAGTGTGTGAGAGATTTACCTTTAGGCTCTCTGTCACCAGTGATTTACTAGTGTTTGCTGTTTAACACATTATCTGTGTTTAGTAGTGATTATTTATTTACAAGTTGGTGGTAATTCAGCAGTCAGGACTCTAATCTTTTATAGTTTAGTTAAGGGAATCTCGCTTTTATTCACTTGGCTGGCAACTGCTTTTCTCACAGACCTCTGGTGCTTGGCTTCCAAGGAAGCCCATGAGATGCCAAAATCACACCTTTCGGGAGCAACTTGCTCTAATGGGTGATGCATGATCAAACAGTCAGATTTGAAGGGGTTTCAGTGTAATTTAGAGAAAAAGATGTCTTAATTTACTTCTTTTCCATTAATCACCCCCTCAAAAACACCCCACACATTAAAAATGAATGATTTGATACCACTTTGTCTTTTTAGGTCCTTATATAACTAAAAACAAGCACAGAAAAAGAATCAGTTTATGGAAATTTTAGTAAGAAACCCAAAGTTCTAAAAACTGCTTACTGATGAACTAAAAATTAAAAATCAGTAACCAAATAACCTTTCATCAAATGTTAATGGTGAAAAATCTTTTCATGAAAGTTAGAAGTAGTGAGAATCAGTGTTAGTTATACTTATACCAAAGTAAACATTAAAGAAACATATCATGGAATTTCAAAGAATGCTTTCATGTTATTTCTTCACCTGACATACTGAACCTTATTGCAGGCAATACACAAAGATTCACTCACTACTCCATAAATTAATTGAATTACTGGTTGGTAAATAGATTTAATAGCCTTGCTTTCTTTCCCAAGATTAGCTGAGATCATGGAAAACATGACTCCTCTTTGAAGGATCTAGACACTGCTCAACTTAAAAACTGGCACCATAAAAAAAGTCATCATGCAGTAATAGAGCAGTATGCTTTATTAGAACCAGGTTAAAAGCTGTTTATTGTCTGATGGAGTAGAAGTTGCTGAGGTCAACAAACAGACTGAGGTCTGGCATAGTATATGCCCACTCATTACTGTCTAATTATATTCTTTTGACAACAGACAACATTTATCACAGCATTAATTCAAATGAGAGTTTTGGCTATCAAGATGTGTTGATTTGAATCATAATTGAATGAGACCTGATTAAAGTCTGACTTTCCTGGCCCCAGTGTTTTGCAGGTTGGCTATACCCATTTGTCAGCCCCATCACTCCACAAAGTTCTTAGCTGCACCAAGTGATTGGTGAGCAAGGACAACGACAACAAAAGCAGCATACATTGTATGGATTTATCTCAACGCTATTGTTTAATGGCTGTGTTTAATGTGACCTATCTGGAAAATGAGGACTCTGAATAAAAAGCTATTACTAATAGTGGCGTTGCCTTCCCTTGAATTCATTAACACAGAAGTGATGTGTTACACACTATATACCCCAGGGACCGTGATCATAATTATTTTGGAAAAGCAACTGTGGCATCACAACTGTTTTTGCTATTTATCTGTTTGCCAGTAAAATAAGATTTTTAAAACAATTTTGTTAACAGTAATGTCACTAGTTTCTCAACAGGAGTGAATTAATGATCTTTCACATAGCTTAGGTAAGTTGACTAGTCAAATAATTATCATGGAGTCATGGCCTAATGATACTTGTCGTTTTTAATACTTACAATTGGTGTAAAGATAATCTGTTGCAAGATCCAAAAGGATTTCTGAAAATTCAGTTTATAAGCCCTCTCATAATCTTACATAACTGATGAAAGCACATATAGTGTGTGCCTACCTGCAGTATCGTCCCTTATCTGCAGGAAGTATGTTCCAATACCCCCAGTGGATGCCTAAAACCACAAATAGTAACAAACCCTATTTATACAGAACTTATAAATGGTATTTTAAAGTAAATATGTTTATTATGGTATTTTAAAACAATAAGCCTCTTTCTCTACTCATTCCACAAGCATCATTTGAATTCCTACTAGGTGTTGGCTTTGGACTATTATGCCCCAGGAGTAAACACTAAACAAGGAATGGAGCCTGGGTTACAGTCTGGTGGGAGAAATGATTAGGTAAATTCTAATACACATTATTCTTTATAAGCTGGATTTGGTTGTTTGCATTTTTTCTCATTTATTTCACACATCCCATATTTCTGCTATCTCACTCACAGTGGGTGACATATTCTAAATTCCAAGCCAACATAATATTCCGTTTTAGATTTTTTATTTTAATTTTTTTAACAGCATAAAATTATCAAGAAGAATGTTTTGGTTTTCAATATTTAAGAAGATCCTCATGGAGTAGGCTTATTGGTACAGACTAAATAACTTACTATTTTTTGGTTGCTGTCTTTTTTTTTTCTTTTTTCTTTTTTTTCACTGAGCACTACTTAGGTGCCAGGTGCTATCAAGGATCCTAAGGTACAGAGAACTAAGCCAATTACATTTTGCCCCCAGAATGCTTGTAGTTTGTGTCTTGATGTTATATACTAACATAGGAATTGACTTTATCTTATCTTGACACCTTTACCTTTTCATAATGAAAAGAATAGCAAAAACCACATGCCTACCATGCTATTCGCTGCTTTCAAGCATGAGGATAGACCAAGCTGTTAAT